GTTCAGTTTAGATAAGTATTAAGACTCTTTACCTCTTACTAGGTTTGTTAAACCTTTACAGCTGGACATTGCAGGTCTTTTTGGCTGTTTTGAAATGGAACACAAAAAAACCCTTTTGAGAGACAGAAACAAGAAGTCAAGTGACGCCTCACAAAATCTACTGTAAATGAATCAAATGTGTAGAGTCAAGACAATAAGTCTTTTCAATTAACATTTTATTTCTAGAATTTTACAAGAATTCAATTCAGTTTATATTAAATTCACCAGTCACACTGAAATCTTTACCTTGTTTGTATTGTGTGTAACGTTGAAGGCGTGGAGATAACTGAATCAATTTAAAGGTGAATCAAACATGTTGAAATCTTCTGCCTGTGTAGTTTCTAGCACATGCTGTGACTGATGGAGCAGGAAAAGCTGAGGATCCCATGGAGATTATAGTCAATGTGATTGACCAGAACGACAACAAACCTTATTTTACGACAGGGTACATAGGAAATCTTGTTGAGGCCACGGCCATCGGTATGTTTAAACATATTTTTTACATTATTTTGTTTTTTGAGATATTGAACAAGCAACCTTGTTGCCACTTATTTGCAGTTTTCTTTATTTTTGATACTACCTACAATTCTCAACAATAGAAATCAATGTAGTGCAGAGGTTTAAATGCAATGAATTTAAGATATTCAGAAACCTTCAGAAAATTACAATGTGGGTTGGAATGAAATTAGACTTTTTACGCTAACTCTATTTTGATTTAATAAATTCTTAAATGAAGCAATGTGAAGACCTTCTAAAACTTCTGCTCTTTATTTCCTTTTTCTGAATTCCTCCACTCCAGGGACTGAGGTGGTTAGGGTTGAGGCCAAAGATGACGATGAGCCAAATAGTGACAACTCAGATCTCCGCTATCGTATTGTGAATCAGGACCCACCACTGCCCACTGACAACATGTTTGAAATCAACACAGTTACTGGAAGCATCCGAATCACTGGTAGAGGACTGGATAGAGAGGTAAGACTTGTTAAATGTATTTAACGTACAAGTGTCCTTTTACGCCTAAGTACTGAAAAAAGCATTTTATAATGAATCAGGATCAGTAGTCTGCCTATCACTGCTAGAAATCAGTCAGAAAGAGGGTGCTGCAT